TCGGGACCTCGGGATTGCGGTGAGCCGCACCAGGAGCAGAGGAGAGGCCCGGGCCCCTGGGGCGGGGGCGGGGGTGCTGCCAGAGAGCAGGGAGGCTGGCTCGCCGCAAGCGCCGGCCGGTCACCCCCCTCTCCGGACCTGATGCAGCCCAGGGCTGGGCTGGGATCGCTGTGGGAGCGCGGGCCCCTATAGAGGGAAGGCGCGGGCTGGCGCACAGTCCCGGTGCGTGGGGACACTTCCCGAGGCCGCACTGTACGCTTGACTATCCCGCTGGGAACCCGCCCGTGCACCGCGCGCCCCTGTGCAGCATTCGCGCCCGCCGCTGTTCCCCGCACCGGCAGGAAGGCCCTAGAGCACCTGCTAATGAATTGTTGTCTCGGACTAACTGCAAATTCTAGTTTCCCTGCCTTTCTGGTTCCTCACCCCCTTTGAGGATAAACGGCCCCATGAACCTGTGGAGTGAAGATGGCCCTTCATTCCTTCCATGGACATAATAAGATACTAGACTAGGTGCTGATGATGCAATGTACTGGGTGTAACCGCTGCTCTCCAGCCTTAGAGGGACGTGGCAGAGGAATTGCAGAAGGGTGGGTTTGAAAGACATGCTAAGGTAGATTTTCCCAGACTGTGACAGTATGGGTGTGAGGGAGAGGAAGGAATCAGGAATGACTCGTTTCTTGTCCTGTGTGCCTTGCACGAAGTACAGAGTTTAAGGTCCACGGCCCCCCTCCCCTTGGTTGTAAGACAAAGGTTGGGAGTTTCTGGCATAAGCTCTGGATTTGGAAAATACTTGTTTCTTGGGGGGCATTCTGGGGAGAGCTAAGTAAAACACCGTTAACAGGAAGTATAGATAAACTACCTATAAGATTTGAATTCTCTTCCTTGCCCCCTCCACACACAACAGAGACATTTGGTTAAGACGGACATCTCTGATGAATACATTTCTCTGCATTTATTTACTTTCAGGAACTGACTTGATCTGTGCCATTAGTTGTATAATTTGAAGTCCTTATATATGAAGAAAAAGTGCAAATTTAAGCTAAGAAAAGAAAAACTTTAGAAGCACAGAATGTTAGCGGTGGAAGGGATTTTCAGAGATGGTCTAGTCCAGCTCTCTTTTAGAAGAGCTGTGAAGAGTCCAAATTTCAAAGCTAGGTAGCAGAGCGGAGACTAAAATCTATTTTTCTTCTCCTAGCATGGCAACTTTGTTCCCTCCATTTTTCTATTGTGTTAAAATACACTTAGCACAGCAACTTTTTATTATACCAGGCTGTCTTTTGAGGGCTAGAACACCAACATTACACTGCTTTAGAAAACTATGCTCTTCAAGCAGAGGCTTAACAAGCCCTATTCAAGGATGTTATAGAAACATTTTCTAGACTGGAAGGAAGATTGACTTTCACCAATGCCTCTAAGGGTTCCTTTCAATTTTAAGGACTTCAAATTCATGTACAATTCAGCATTATTCTGATATCTTTAACACTTTAGGATTCGAAAAATGTATACAGGATTTCATCTTAGATTTGAAACTTTAGTTCATATTACATTCTGAATACCGACCTTAAACTAGTTTAGAAATCTCTAGAAGGAAAGTTTAAATTCCATGTAAAGTCTTAAGCCCCAATACTATGTGACAGGATGTACTGGTTCCCAGAAGTTTCAGATGGGAAAATTATTTTGAAACCCTATTCAGGCTTTGTCACAATCCTTCTAATGAACAAAAGCTGAATGACTTAAGTTGCTTCTGAAAGCAAATGTTCTGGTAAGAAGGTAAACATGAGATGTGTTTGGCAAGAAGGCCGTGACTCCACAGGTGGTGGAGACCAGCCAGTGGCACGAGGGGCTCTGTGCACATTTAGAAATGGTACAGATCAGTTTGGGTCGGGAGGACCGTGGAAGGCAGGAAGGGGAGGGAAGTGGATCTTAAGCTTGTACTTTTATTATCACTTGAGATATCAGGCCTTGGGATTGAGGCAGGGAGGGGGTCACACTGGAGAGCCCTAGTGAACCTCCCCCTCCTTGAATTTTATCCCCATACCGTCACTGGAGTAAGTTGGGCTTTGGCTTCTATAGATCTTAAGTGATTAGACATTAACAGGCATATAATCTGATTTGGGGACTCTGAAACCCCAGACCTCACCCTCAACCATTGGTCCTAGCTAATCTCTCACAAGGGCTTTTTGTTTTAAGGTAAAATTTACATTCAGTGATATTTGCAGATCTTATGCTTACTTAAATTTTAAGCTAAGTTCTGACAAATGTGTACACCCATCTAAGAAAAGTCCAGACAAGATACAGAACATTTTCTTAGAACTTCAAAGTTCTTCCATATCACCTCCTTGCCAGGAGCAACAGCTATTCTGATTTCTATCAACAAGAGCTAATCTGTTCATGAGAGTCTTTTTATATAAAACTACATCCCTTGAACAACAATCAAAATTATACCCCAAAATGCAACCCACTCACCAAATGTTATTAAGTATTTACATTTTAGTACAAAGGATGGATTGGAATAAAACTATTTTGGGAAAAGAGGGAAGTGAGACTGCAAGGACCTTAAATACTTGGTTCCTGAAGGATGTTTGGAAGCCATACATTGTGTTTCCTAGGTATATAGATGACAGATAGATGCTCAGGAAAAATGTGTGGCAGAGGGTGGCACTACCACGGGGAAGAAAACATTCTCTTCTCTCCTTCTATTGAAATCCTACTCTGCTAACTCAATTCAGATCCTATTTATCAAGAATATCTTAGGCTGTACTAACTTCTCTCTCAATTTCTGTTATAGTTTTGGTAGGTAGTAATTTCATAGGTCATGAACTCAGCTGTATCGTTTTTTTGCAACTGACCTTACTTTTTATTTCAAGCTCCTATTTAGTGCTTAACAGTAGAGAACTTAGTATTTATAATTTAAGGTGAACTCAGTCACTTCAGTATTAATTCACTCCATTCAGGGTTATACTTAGTTCAGGGCTTTATTTGACATAGAATAGAATCAATATTGATAAACGTTGGTCTAAGAAAAATCATTTAAATAAACATGTTCATCATATGTCCCCTTTCTAGTTTGCTTGAAACATAATGTTAGGTGGAGATGATCAACAGTCACAGGCTCTTGCCAAACCCACCTTCGGTGAGGTACAAGCCTCTGCATTAGTGGAATCAGTGTTTGGGTTAAAAGTTTCCAAGATCCATCCACTTCCTAGCTATGATGACCAGAATTTTCACGTATGCATTTCAAGAACCAAACACACTACAGATAGCCCAGCTGAATATGTCCTCAAAGTAAGCAACACAGAGTCCAGCAAAACTCCAGACCTGATCGAAGTGCAGAGTCACATCATGATGTTTCTGAGAGCAGCTGGATTTCCAACAGCATCTGTGTGCCGTACTAAAGGAGGAAACATCACCTCTCTCGTGTCCATAGGTAAGCAACTGCTCACCTGTCATGGCCTGTCCATGTATATTTTAGCTATGAGTAGAAATATCAAGAGCAAGTTCATAGTTCCAATGTAGGCACGTCTTTTTTTTTTTTCCAGTGGTTTGGAGAAGCCACAGCATCACTAAAATGGTGACTGGGGCTGTGTGAAACAGAAGGGTCAGAGCCGTGATCTGGTGTGATTCTTGCTTAGAAAGGGCCTAATAGATGAGTAATTAAGGGGTCATGTGGAAAGTAAGGGAACTTTTTTTAAGCTCAAAAATAAATAAATTTTTTTATTCATCAGATCAGCTGTATATTTTGGTGATATGGTATAGAAAGAACACAGAACAATTAATCAGGGATTTCAGATCGCAGCTCTGTCATTTCTGCATGTGCGACCATGGGCACACCACTTACATTCCTGAAGCCAAGAGTCCTCACCTGACTTGGTGCTTTTCACCTGTAAATGCTGAAATGCTGGGATGTACCTAATAGAGTTCTCCAGGCAGCAGCCTGAGATCGCTCGGCAGCAAGTGCTCTTCCCAGTTTGCCCGTGAAGAAGCCTGTGAGTCCGAAATGATCTTTTCTTTGTATCACACTTTCCTCAGTTACAAACAGAGAAAAGTGCTGTAGACATTCACTTACCAGAGCAGGTAATCTATGTTTAGGCCTGCAAAGTTGGGGCCATGATTCTGCAGGTGCACGAGGGGCCTGTTAGTGTTGCAAAGTCCTTTTTACCTGCTTCTGCCACCCACCAGCCTTGCCTCGCAGAACCCGGCTGACTTGCTTTTGGTCAGCAGATTTTTTTTCCTCTTGTTTTGTCATGTCTATTATTCTCTGAAATAATAGTCAAAAACACATTCTCTGGGAAGCCAGGTGGGGCGGCCTCCAGGCTCCCTTTGCACCTATTACACCGAATGTAATGATGAGAAAGCCAGGGTTGGTGGGGGCCCCGTGCAGCCTGGAACCGACGCCCCCGTCGGTGCCGGCAGCACGGACCCTGCTCCGATAGCCAGGACCCCTCCCCGCTCCGGCACTTCCCGCGGCCTCATCGGTTCGAGTCGTCCTCGGGCCGCGTGCTTTCAGCAGGAGGAGGAAAGGGAGGGGAAACAAGGATGCCAGCTGCTCTCAGAGTACGTGTATCCGGGGAGAAACTGTCAGCGGAGACTCCGCGGACTGGGCGGAACCGCGAGGTGCCACTCAAGAAGCCTGCCAAATGGCCAGGCTCACGGGGGGCGGGGTGGAATCTCGAAAAGCCAATCATAAGTAAGAAATGAGCCGGATAAGAATAAAAGTAGCCGGATTCTGACAGGTAACCGCCGTGAGGAGGCGGGGCAGAACTGCCGGAAGCCAACCGGAAGCCCGATCTCTGGATTTCTGTTTTCAGCTGCTAGTGTCCATTTCCCTAGCGGGGCGGGGTGAAGTCCGGGTCTGCCCAGGCGAGCCTCGCCTTCCAGTCATCCGCGTTAATTGGTGAAGGCGGGGCCTCAAGGAGCCAATCATAAGTCAGAGTTTGCGGTCTGGGAGGAGGGCCGGGGCCCGGGCCGCGGGCAGAATCCCTGGATGGAAGGAGGCGGGGGCTCCTGCGGGTCCGCGGGCGGGGGCGGGTCCGGGCCGCGGGCAGAGTCCGGGGCGGGGTGGCTCCTGCGGGGCCGGGACGCCGGCCTGCGGGATCCGCTCGGGACCTCGGGATTGCGGTGAGCCGCACCAGGAGCAGAGGAGAGGCCCGGGCCCCTGGGGCGGGGGCGGGGGTGCTGCCAGAGAGCAGGGAGGCTGGCTCGCCGCAAGCGCCGGCCGGTCACCCCCCTCTCCGGACCTGATGCAGCCCAGGGCTGGGCTGGGATCGCTGTGGGAGCGCGGGCCCCTATAGAGGGAAGGCGCGGGCTGGCGCACAGTCCCGGTGCGTGGGGACACTTCCCGAGGCCGCACTGTACGCTTGACTATCCCGCTGGGAACCCGCCCGTGCACCGCGCGCCCCTGTGCAGCATTCGCGCCCGCCGCTGTTCCCCGCACCGGCAGGAAGGCCCTAGAGCACCTGCTAATGAATTGTTGTCTCGGACTAACTGCAAATTCTAGTTTCCCTGCCTTTCTGGTTCCTCACCCCCTTTGAGGATAAACGGCCCCATGAACCTGTGGAGTGAAGATGGCCCTTCATTCCTTCCATGGACATAATAAGATACTAGACTAGGTGCTGATGATGCAATGTACTGGGTGTAACCGCTGCTCTCCAGCCTTAGAGGGACGTGGCAGAGGAATTGCAGAAGGGTGGGTTTGAAAGACATGCTAAGGTAGATTTTCCCAGACTGTGACAGTATGGGTGTGAGGGAGAGGAAGGAATCAGGAATGACTCGTTTCTTGTCCTGTGTGCCTTGCACGAAGTACAGAGTTTAAGGTCCACGGCCCCCCTCCCCTTGGTTGTAAGACAAAGGTTGGGAGTTTCTGGCATAAGCTCTGGATTTGGAAAATACTTGTTTCTTGGGGGGCATTCTGGGGAGAGCTAAGTAAAACACCGTTAACAGGAAGTATAGATAAACTACCTATAAGATTTGAATTCTCTTCCTTGCCCCCTCCACACACAACAGAGACATTTGGTTAAGACGGACATCTCTGATGAATACATTTCTCTGCATTTATTTACTTTCAGGAACTGACTTGATCTGTGCCATTAGTTGTATAATTTGAAGTCCTTATATATGAAGAAAAAGTGCAAATTTAAGCTAAGAAAAGAAAAACTTTAGAAGCACAGAATGTTAGCGGTGGAAGGGATTTTCAGAGATGGTCTAGTCCAGCTCTCTTTTAGAAGAGCTGTGAAGAGTCCAAATTTCAAAGCTAGGTAGCAGAGCGGAGACTAAAATCTATTTTTCTTCTCCTAGCATGGCAACTTTGTTCCCTCCATTTTTCTATTGTGTTAAAATACACTTAGCACAGCAACTTTTTATTATACCAGGCTGTCTTTTGAGGGCTAGAACACCAACATTACACTGCTTTAGAAAACTATGCTCTTCAAGCAGAGGCTTAACAAGCCCTATTCAAGGATGTTATAGAAACATTTTCTAGACTGGAAGGAAGATTGACTTTCACCAATGCCTCTAAGGGTTCCTTTCAATTTTAAGGACTTCAAATTCATGTACAATTCAGCATTATTCTGATATCTTTAACACTTTAGGATTCGAAAAATGTATACAGGATTTCATCTTAGATTTGAAACTTTAGTTCATATTACATTCTGAATACCGACCTTAAACTAGTTTAGAAATCTCTAGAAGGAAAGTTTAAATTCCATGTAAAGTCTTAAGCCCCAATACTATGTGACAGGATGTACTGGTTCCCAGAAGTTTCAGATGGGAAAATTATTTTGAAACCCTATTCAGGCTTTGTCACAATCCTTCTAATGAACAAAAGCTGAATGACTTAAGTTGCTTCTGAAAGCAAATGTTCTGGTAAGAAGGTAAACATGAGATGTGTTTGGCAAGAAGGCCGTGACTCCACAGGTGGTGGAGACCAGCCAGTGGCACGAGGGGCTCTGTGCACATTTAGAAATGGTACAGATCAGTTTGGGTCGGGAGGACCGTGGAAGGCAGGAAGGGGAGGGAAGTGGATCTTAAGCTTGTACTTTTATTATCACTTGAGATATCAGGCCTTGGGATTGAGGCAGGGAGGGGGTCACACTGGAGAGCCCTAGTGAACCTCCCCCTCCTTGAATTTTATCCCCATACCGTCACTGGAGTAAGTTGGGCTTTGGCTTCTATAGATCTTAAGTGATTAGACATTAACAGGCATATAATCTGATTTGGGGACTCTGAAACCCCAGACCTCACCCTCAACCATTGGTCCTAGCTAATCTCTCACAAGGGCTTTTTGTTTTAAGGTAAAATTTACATTCAGTGATATTTGCAGATCTTATGCTTACTTAAATTTTAAGCTAAGTTCTGACAAATGTGTACACCCATCTAAGAAAAGTCCAGACAAGATACAGAACATTTTCTTAGAACTTCAAAGTTCTTCCATATCACCTCCTTGCCAGGAGCAACAGCTATTCTGATTTCTATCAACAAGAGCTAATCTGTTCATGAGAGTCTTTTTATATAAAACTACATCCCTTGAACAACAATCAAAATTATACCCCAAAATGCAACCCACTCACCAAATGTTATTAAGTATTTACATTTTAGTACAAAGGATGGATTGGAATAAAACTATTTTGGGAAAAGAGGGAAGTGAGACTGCAAGGACCTTAAATACTTGGTTCCTGAAGGATGTTTGGAAGCCATACATTGTGTTTCCTAGGTATATAGATGACAGATAGATGCTCAGGAAAAATGTGTGGCAGAGGGTGGCACTACCACGGGGAAGAAAACATTCTCTTCTCTCCTTCTATTGAAATCCTACTCTGCTAACTCAATTCAGATCCTATTTATCAAGAATATCTTAGGCTGTACTAACTTCTCTCTCAATTTCTGTTATAGTTTTGGTAGGTAGTAATTTCATAGGTCATGAACTCAGCTGTATCGTTTTTTTGCAACTGACCTTACTTTTTATTTCAAGCTCCTATTTAGTGCTTAACAGTAGAGAACTTAGTATTTATAATTTAAGGTGAACTCAGTCACTTCAGTATTAATTCACTCCATTCAGGGTTATACTTAGTTCAGGGCTTTATTTGACATAGAATAGAATCAATATTGATAAACGTTGGTCTAAGAAAAATCATTTAAATAAACATGTTCATCATATGTCCCCTTTCTAGTTTGCTTGAAACATAATGTTAGGTGGAGATGATCAACAGTCACAGGCTCTTGCCAAACCCACCTTCGGTGAGGTACAAGCCTCTGCATTAGTGGAATCAGTGTTTGGGTTAAAAGTTTCCAAGATCCATCCACTTCCTAGCTATGATGACCAGAATTTTCACGTATGCATTTCAAGAACCAAACACACTACAGATAGCCCAGCTGAATATGTCCTCAAAGTAAGCAACACAGAGTCCAGCAAAACTCCAGACCTGATCGAAGTGCAGAGTCACATCATGATGTTTCTGAGAGCAGCTGGATTTCCAACAGCATCTGTGTGCCGTACTAAAGGAGGAAACATCACCTCTCTCGTGTCCATAGGTAAGCAACTGCTCACCTGTCATGGCCTGTCCATGTATATTTTAGCTATGAGTAGAAATATCAAGAGCAAGTTCATAGTTCCAATGTAGGCACGTCTTTTTTTTTTTTCCAGTGGTTTGGAGAAGCCACAGCATCACTAAAATGGTGACTGGGGCTGTGTGAAACAGAAGGGTCAGAGCCGTGATCTGGTGTGATTCTTGCTTAGAAAGGGCCTAATAGATGAGTAATTAAGGGGTCATGTGGAAAGTAAGGGAACTTTTTTTAAGCTCAAAAATAAATAAATTTTTTTATTCATCAGATCAGCTGTATATTTTGGTGATATGGTATAGAAAGAACACAGAACAATTAATCAGGGATTTCAGATCGCAGCTCTGTCATTTCTGCATGTGCGACCATGGGCACACCACTTACATTCCTGAAGCCAAGAGTCCTCACCTGACTTGGTGCTTTTCACCTGTAAATGCTGAAATGCTGGGATGTACCTAATAGAGTTCTCCAGGCAGCAGCCTGAGATCGCTCGGCAGCAAGTGCTCTTCCCAGTTTGCCCGTGAAGAAGCCTGTGAGTCCGAAATGATCTTTTCTTTGTATCACACTTTCCTCAGTTACAAACAGAGAAAAGTGCTGTAGACATTCACTTACCAGAGCAGGTAATCTATGTTTAGGCCTGCAAAGTTGGGGCCATGATTCTGCAGGTGCACGAGGGGCCTGTTAGTGTTGCAAAGTCCTTTTTACCTGCTTCTGCCACCCACCAGCCTTGCCTCGCAGAACCCGGCTGACTTGCTTTTGGTCAGCAGATTTTTTTTCCTCTTGTTTTGTCATGTCTATTATTCTCTGAAATAATAGTCAAAAACACATCACCTCTAATCATTTTTTTTGAGAATAGTTGACAGAGTATATCCTTCACCCATCTAGATAGTGGCTCTGAAATCAAAAGCTACTTGGTGAGGCTGCTGACTTACCTCCCGGGAAGACCCATAGCCGAGATTCCTGTCAGCCCACAGCTGTTATATGAAATTGGAAGGCTAGCTGCCAAATTGGATAAGGCACTGGAGGTAAGATTTGGGGTTTTATTTTGTTTATAAGAATTTTTGTTTTGTTTTGTCTTTCTTTTTTATTTTTAAAATAAAACCACCGTCAGAGTCTACTTTTATGTGCCTCCTGAGGTGTGTTTGAAGGAAACAGGGTCTTAGATGATGCACTGTATGACAGCAAGGCTGCCCAGGTCTGTACTTTCTGGTACATTGGAAAGATTACCTACATTTTTAGGAATTAGTGATATTCTTTATGTTGCCCAGTGAAAACAGTTTGTATTCACAGACTAAAGCCTGAAGTTTTCATCTAGATAAGATGCAATCAGCCAGAGCTCTAAATGAAGCAATTGCTAAGTTACATATGAATTAGAATGATTTGTGTTCAGGGTGTTTTTGTCCTATAGAAATGATATCATGTATCACAAATATTTTTCCAGACCCACCCACAAAACATTTGCATTTATTCAACAAATGTTCTCCAAGTACCTCCTATATTCCAGGCACTGAGGAAAAGGTAAGGATTCCCTTGTCCTAAAGGACTGTGTTCCAGGGGACAGATAAACACTGTAAGAAGTAACTATAATTTGCAAGAGTAAAACATAGTTCTTATGTATAAAACATTTCCAGTCATTCACTAAATCCTGCCCATTCTGCCTCTCAATGTGTCTATACTCTATTGCCTCTCTGTCACCACCTTGACTGTCCTAGCTTGCCACTGTAGCCTCCCTGCATTTAGGGTTTTTTCTACTTCAATTTATTCTTTATACCAGTTCCAAGTTACCTTTATTTTTATTTAGGTATCATTAATCTACAATTACATGAGCAACATTGTGGTTAGTAGATTCCCCCCATTATCAATCCCCACCACATACCCCATTATAGTCACTGTCCATCACCATAGTAAGATGCTATAGAGTCACTACTTGTCTTCCCTGTGCTATACTGCCTTCCCCGTGCCCCCCCCCTGCTACATTATGTCTTCTAATTGTACTGCCCCTTATTCCCCTTCTCCCTCCCTTCCCCCCCACCCACCTCAACCAGTCCCTTTCCCTTTGGTAACTGTTAGTCCATTTTTGGGTTCTGTGAGTCTGCTGCTGTTTTGTTCCTTCAGTTTTTGCTTTGTTCTTATGCTCCACATATGAGTGAAATCATTTGGTACTTGTCTTTCTCCACCTGGCTTATTTCACTGAGCATAACACTCTTTAGCTCCATCCATGTTGTTGCAAATGGCGGTAGGATTTGTTTTCTTCTTATGGCTGGATGATATTGCATAGTGTGTATGTACCACATCTTCTTTATCCATTCATCTACTGATGGACACTTAGGTTGCTTCCATTTCTTGGCTATTGTAAATAGTGCTGCGATAAACATAGGGGTGCATATGTCTTTTTCAAACTGGGCTGCTGCATTCTTAGGGTAAATTCCTAGGAGTGGAATTCCTGGGTCAAATGGTATTTCTATTTTGAACTTTTTGAGGAACCTCCATACTGCTTTCCACAATGGTTGAACTAATTTTCATTCCCACCAGCAGTGTATGAGGGTTCTCCTTTCTCCTCAACCTCGCCAACATTTGTTGTTGTTTATCTTTTTGATGCTGGCCATCCTAACTGGTGTGAGGTGATATCTCATTGTGGTTTTAATTTGCATTCCCCTGATAATTAGCGATTTGTAGCATCTTTTCATGTGTCTGTTGGCCATCTGAATTTCTTCTTTAGAGAAGTGTCTGTTGATATCCTCCGCCCATTTTTTAATAGGATTATTTGTTTTTTGGGTGTTGAGGCATATGAGTCCTTTATATTTTTTGGATGTTAACCCATTGTCAGATATATCATTTACAAATATATTCTCCCATACTGTAGGATGCCCTTTGCTCTTCTGATAGTGTCCTATGCTGTACAGAAGCTTTTTAGCTTGATGTAGTCCCATTTGTTCATATTTTGTTTTGTTTCCCTTGCCCAAGGAGATGTGTTAAGGAAAAAGTTGCTCATGTTTATATTCAAGAGATTTTTGCCTATGTTTTCTTCTAAGAGTTTTATGGTTTCATGACTTACATTCAGGTCTTTGATCCATTTCGAGTTTACTTTTGTGTATGGGATTAATCAGTAATCCAGTTTCATTATCTTGCATGTAGCTGACCAGCTTTGCCAACACCAACTGTTGAAGAGGCTGTTATTTCCCCACTGTATATCCATGGCTCCTTCATTGTGCATTATTTGACCATATATGCTTGGGTTAATATCTGGACTCTCTATTCTGTTCCACTGGTCTATGGGTCTGTTCTTGTGCCAGTACCAAATTGCCTTGATTACTGTGGCTTTGTATTAGAGCTTGAAGTCAGGGAGCATAATTCTCCCCACTTTATTCTTCCCTCTCAGGAATGCTTTGGCTATTTGGGGTCACTTGTGGTTCCATATGAACTATTTGCTCTAGTTTGTTGGAGAATATTGTTGGTATTTTGATAGGGATTGCATCGAATCGGTAGATTGCATTAGGCAGGATGGCCATTTTGACAATATTAATTCTTCCTATCCATGAGCATGGGATGCGTTTCCATTAATTGGTGTTTTCTTTAATTTCTCTCATGAGTGTCTTGTAGTCTGAGTTACCTTTTAAAATTACAGATCTGACCATGTCAGTTCCATGGTTAAAACCTTTTAGTGTCTTCTCATTGCCTTCAAGGTAAAGGCCAGGGTCCTCAGCGTTTCTTGCGTGCCAGGCCCCAGGTGGCCTCGTCCCTGCTCCCACCCCGCTTGGTCCCAGTGCCTGGCCCCCCTTCCCATGCTGCTCTCAGCACCGGTATGAAACTTCCCTCAGTCCCTGTATGTGCCTCCATCTCACACACCTGCGCCCTTGCCCAGGTCGGTTTTCTCAGGTGGGAATGCCTTCCCCTGCCCTGTAGGACTCCTGCCACCCTGCCACATGCTCAGGCAGCTGTGCTCTGTGAGATTGTCTCTGGCCCATGCTCTTCCTGTGCTGATTTATTTCTCCTGATTCTCTGGGAGGATTGAGTGGCTCTTCTGCCCTACTTGTTGTTGTCTGGGGTCACCCATGCAGCTTCATTCAGCTAGGAGCTCAGCTGGGGTGATTCCATTCCTCTCCATGCAGGCTCTTCTTTTCACGTGGTCTCGCATCCTCCAGGATGGCCTGCATGTCCTTACAACGTGGTTGCTGGCTTCTGAGGGGGAGTTCTAGGAGGACGGGCCCCAGTATACAAATGCTTATCAAGTTTCTGCTTGAATCATGTTAGTTAATGTCCTGTTGGCCAAAGCAAGTGACATGTCTAATCCCAAAGTCAACTGGGAGAAGCACTCTAGGGTGTAGGTACTAGGAGGCATGGTTCCCTGTGGCCCTTTGGGCACCAGTCTACCTCACAGGACATTTAATTATTCATGCATATTTGTGCTTCTTGTTACATATGCTGCATAAGAAGCAGTAAGCTTCTTAAGAAATTGGTCTGTCTTAACTATTGATCTTTTATCATTGGTGTCTAGCAGTGTGAAACACATAGTAAATACTCAAGAAGGGCCTCTTAAAAAGCAAACATACCAATAAATTTATGAGCTGGTTCTTGAAAATTGGGAATACCTCAGCCAGGCAGAACAATGGAGGGAGGGCATCCCTACCCAGGGAAGGAACATGCAAAAAATCATGGTGGTACAATGAGCATGTTTTACTTTCATTTTTTAAGGATATTTTCATTTGGTATAAACTTCTAGATAAACAGTGTTTTCCCTTTAGCATTTGAAGACATTGCTCTGCTTTCTTCTCTTGCATTGTTTGTGATAAGGACGTGGCCCTCCCATTGTTCTAACTGAAGTGTGTCTTGTGTGTGCACGTGTGTGTGTGTGTGTGAGAGAGAAAGGCTGCTGTTAAGTTTCCCTCTGTGTCAACTTTTGAGCATTTTGCTTATGGTGTGTCTCAGTGTAGCTTTGTGCTTGGCTCATCGAGCCTCTGAGTAGATGCAGCGAAGTTGCTTGCAAGCAGTTTGGTGCCTCTGTGTCTTGCCTTTAGTAGTTCATAGGTGGGACCAGGACTGGCTTTAGTCTAGGGACGGCCACTCCCCAACACCAACACAAGGCCGTCCTGAGTTCTCTGCCCAGTGTCTGCGGACCATGGGATTCCCCCGCCTGGTCGGCAGCAGCAGGCACCGCTCCCGGCCCCCTGCGTGCCCAAGCGCCGCTCCCAGTGAGTCCTCCTGATAGTTCCCATCCCACTTCAGCAGCTTCCTCACATTCCTACACTGACCTGCCAGGTCCTCAAGGGATCCATTCTGCAGACCTTTGGCCTTCTCTCTCTCTCTGTCTGTCTGCAGCTCTCTGTTTTCTGGAATGCGCCCTGCAGACGCCAGCTGTTTGGTCTCCCTGGGTGCTCTGCCTCCTCAGCGCAGTTCCCAGGGCTCCCTGCTCCACGGCCTCCATCAAGGGAGGAAGCGGGGACAAACTCTCCTTCTCCCAGGGAGCGCTGTCCGTCATTGCTTGGTGTCTAGTAACTGAAAAACCATGTTCCAGATATTTTGTCCAGTGTTTTGGTTATTTCAACCAGAGGGGTATATTTGGTCCCTGTTACTCCTTCTTGGACATAAACTGAAGTCCATATTACAGGCTAAAGCAATATTTACTATCTTTTTATTCCCAAATAGAAATAACCCTGTTTTTTTCTGATTAGAAACTCTTTTAGTGACTCATTAGAGAAAATGAGACACAAATACAAAAAGAATTAAAAGTTACCAGTAATCCTATCACCCAGAAATGACAGTCACAAAACTCTGAGTCCAAGACCACATTATCCCACAGCCCCTGGAGCATAGTAGGTCCTCAGTAAATGTTTTTTAACTGACAGATTTTTGTCTATGTTGACAATAATTACCATTTCACATTCACTCTATTTATTCAACACATATTTACTGAGCCATGAAAGGCTTTGGATGGTAAATGTTATTAACCATTTGGTTGCAATAGTTCTCAACTAAATGGGAGAAAATCCCTCTGTAGGTATCCATTAAAACAATAATTTCTGAGTATTAATGTAATTTG